CCAGAGAACTTCCCGATCGACAGAGTCGAATGCTGCCTTTAGGTCAAGAAATATAATGACTGTTGGACGCCGGTAGGAATGCCTATGTTCTAGAATCTGTCGGAGGGTGAAGATATGATCAATACACCCTCTTCCTGGTCTAAAGCCTGCCTGGCTCTCTCGTGTTTGTGCTTCCCGAGCACCACTCAGTCTACGCATGATTATTGAGCCTAAGACTTTAGATACTATATTAGTCAAGCTAATCCCTCTGTGATTATCACAGGAAGACTTGTCTCCCTTCTTGTATATGGGGATAATCAGTGACTTACACCAACCCGATGGGACTTCTTCTGATTCCCAGACGCTGCCTAGTACCTCAGTTAATCCGGACAGTAAGCTGTCTCCACCGTACTTAAATACCTCTGGAGTCATTCCATCAGGTCCCGCTGCTTTGCCTAGTTTCAGATTGGTGACAGCTTTAGTAACCTCAGTTAGTGACGGAGGACCTGTGTCTATATCCCATTCAGGGAGGTGTTGGATGCTCGGAAGGTTGAGCGTGGCTGTGGGCAAATTAAACTGCTCCTCATAATGCTCTTTCCAACGATCCAGTCGTCTATCCTGGGAGCTAATTATAGTGCCATTTTTTTCCGAGATTGTCTCACTGATGATTTGTCTTCTCCCACCCGTTTCCCTGATGAGTCCAAAGAGTTGCCTGGTGTTGCCTATCCTCGAAGCTTTCTCCATCTCTTTGGCTTTTGTCGCCCACCACTGTTCACGGTCCTTGCGGAGACTTTTCGTAAGTTTCCTCTTGTGCAGCTTTCGCTCCTCATTGAATTCGGAGCTCGCCGGAATAAGTCTTCTAGCATCTATCAGTTCGGATGAGGCGGTGGAGATCCAGTGGTTTTTACTCACCTTTGGGTTTACCTTATTCACAGCTTTTACAGCTGTATCTATGGCTGCCTGGATATTTTTCCAAGCTTCTTCAGGGTGAGCACAGCTGTCGAACACAGATATGTGTTTAGCTAGTTCTTCCTCAAATACGGATTTAGTTTCCTGATCGAGCTGGGGACGTGATGGTTTTACCGCCAGCTGTTTCCTACGTCCGTTCAGTCGTAAGCACACCCGAGCGCGGACCAGTGCATGGTCGGTATCTACGCACGTGTTCCAGAAGGAGCGACAATCTCCTACCGACCCACGCCAACGATAGCTTATTGCTATGTGGTCTATTTGTGTCCAGCGTTGGTTTGATGAAGGGGGTCTCCAAGTCAAACAGTGTCTCTCCTTGTGTTTAAAGTTAGTGCTTACAAGAAACAAATGATTATCAGAGCAGAACTGTAGGAGACGGTCACCGTTGTCGGTTCGCTGGCACGGAACTCCATAGGTGCCACCGACATCCTTCTCAGATTGACACAATTTCCCTACTTGAGCGTTAAAGTCACCAGCTAGAACGACTATGTCTGAGCGTTTAGCCTTTCTCACCAAACTAGACAGCTTTTGGTAGAACTCATCCTTCGTTTCATCTGAACTGCAGTCAGTGGGGGCGTAGGCGGAGATTACGAAAAGGCATCGGCGAGTAGTGCAGTCCTTCCTCCTTCTTACTGATCCGTTCAGGCGGACAGCACACATTCGGCTATCTACCGGGATCCAGTCAAGCAATGTCTTTTCTGCCCTAGTACTCAAAGCTATCCCTACGCCAGCTAATCCTCGTGAACTAGCTGTGGCATCTCCTGACACCCTCAAGGTGAATTTTGCAGATTCAACCTGTTGGCCAGGTGGGGTTAGGTGAATAACCACACTTGGGTCTTGTATGCGTGTTTCTGAAACACAGCATACATCAATGGCTCGTGATGCCAGGGTCTTGGCTAGTGATGCTTGTTGTCCTATTTGGCAAAGTGTCCTAACATTAAGAGCTCCTATATGAAATTGGTGGCGCGGCTTTAAGAGGCTGTCGGTGGTGGTTTTTTGGCTTCCATCGTTTTTAGTGGACGCAGAGTGGAGAGGAAGTGGAGAGCTATCAAGTCGAGGAGTTGCATCAGTGGAAGGAAGGCAAGATGATAGAGATGAAGATGAAGACAAAGATGAGTGAGTAATAGAGAGGTTTCGTGTGCATTTCGGATTGTGAGGGCGATTGTTACTTCCCGGCTGCCCACACCGTGGAAGTTGGTTGCGTGACCGCAGAGCCCAGGGGACAACTGCTTGAGGCCGGTCACACGCGGCCTGTTTTTGTTCGTTCTTTTTTGTTTGGTGTGTCTCAGTAGCAGATTTATCACTCCTGCCCTGTGACACGGCAGCAGGAAGCGCGGTCGTTGTTAATCCGGGCCACGGCCGATCCGGCATGAAATTTTGTAATTTTGTATTGGACATGATGTTGGATTGGGTAGCTGCTTTTTGTTTAACCGCTATCCAAACAACCTGCCTGGCATGGTAGAACCTCAAGAGACATAAGTCTCAGCCAGTATAGCTTGAATAGATCATTGCGGTGTTCAAGCCCGACCACCACGTCAAGGTAGCAGCTTTCGGTCGGGCCTGATCCTATGTCAGCTAACATTTCCTGTCGGTCCAGGAAGGCGGTGGCTAGGCAAGCAGTCATGCGTAACTCATATCCTAACCATCTCGATCGATGTAACTTCATAACATCATAGATAGATCTTACTAACTTACCTAGCTCTCGAAGCCTAACCTGAATATGTACTCACCCTATTATACTATCTAAAATGGGTGATACAACTCAGACATTTGTGATCAAAGACAGGTAGCCTGACTTTTCATGCCCCCCCCACTTTCAGTGGCCAGGTCTTACATCCATAAAGGAGGACAAACTGAACTGCTGAGCAGTAAACACACCCTTTTGTTAACAGCCAACCGGACATCACGTCTACTTCAGATATAGAATAAGTTGTCAAGTGCCAAATGAGCCTTCTGTATCCGTGGCGAGATTTAGTCAGTGATCAACCCGTTGGCGTTGGCAACGTTGGCAACTTCCCAAATAAATGAAGTGGTTACCACGCTCCACTAAACACTTCACTCCGTATCCTTAAGCTAGGAGTCAATGTAGTTCAGACTTGTAGCATCATATTACATATAACGGCAGTGAATGGCATGCCAAACATTCGCAACTGATGCTCAAGGTGTCCAGAAGACTGCGTTCTGTTTTGTCAGCTTATTCACCTAGAAGGACTACATCATCTGCATATTCTGATCAACATAATAAGTTCAATTTATTTCGATTCAAATTCACAAAAAAGGGTAATCAACATAGAAACTGTGGAGGAACTTTTGTAAATCAAGTCTTTTGTTTTGCTACTGTATTTTTCTCAACATTCTTGTTTCTGTTTGTTTTGAAAATGCATCATTTCGAATTGTAGGCAACAGATAAGCTGTCATACATTATTGTATATCTAATATCAAATCAAACGTGTAATTTAATTAAGTCGCAACATTGTATTCTTTCAAGAAATCAGCTTGATTCCATTACTAAAACAATTATAGAAGGAAAGTTACTGTGAGCACACATGGAAACTATCAATATGAGATAGAGAATCACTGAAAACCAGAGAGCCATGAATAGTTGTTTCGCCCTAGTTTGGCACCCTTCAACAGTTAGCACCCACGACCTTACCAGGAATCGAATCCAGCTCTCTAACTACTTATCTTAGTCCAATGTTACTGAAGAATACCTACTTGAGTTTAAAGTACGCATGTGACATGCATTATACAACTGAGAAATCACTAAATCAGATCAGAATGGTCTCCAAATTTCAACTGTAATCCCTTCAAACACAATTGTAGCTTTTGGTTAACGTTATCAAAAGAAGATTCATTCTCACCCTCAGCCACAGTAAAACTATAAAGGTCACTAAGTTAAAGAATGTTGATGAGGTTCATGGTGCAAATTGAGTCGATCATGTGAGGCAGAAGTAAAATACATATCAAATGGTCTATGATCAATAATTTAAGTCTTCGTCGCATAAAATCGAAGACTTACAAGCGAAAACCGACAAACTGGTCGAAGAAGTGGACAGTGAAGACAGGACTCCAGGTGAACATAGACAACACGGAGATTATGGAAATAACCAACCACCAACAACAACAGAAGCAACATCCATCGCCAATCACCATCAACGGGAGGGATTTGAAAGAGGTTACTTCATTCACTCACTTATGTAGCATTGAGCATTGTCTCAACTACAGGAAGTCGGAACGGACGAGGATGTCAAATCGAGAATCGGAAAGGCGAGAAACACACACACTCATCAACCTGAAACCAATCTAATCTGGAAATCTTCGTCACTCACTCAGCCAGTATCAACAACAAAATTCAGTCGGATTTTCAATACAGACAACGTCAAGTCAGTCACCTCTTCTATACAGATCGGATCAGAAAGTTGGCGGGCGGGTCACAAAGAATATTTCCAACAGGCTATTGCAGACCAGACCTTTATCAACAACTATCTTCTCTGGCTCTATACTGAGGATCAGATGGCCAGGCTGGAAGGAATCACCAACAAGAAACTATGGGAACAAACAAAGAAAAGAAGAAGCGATTGCCAACCAACAAATATGCTGGAGAAAGTGGAGATGGACAATGGGTGAGGAGACAGCTGGGTGACATCGCGTTTGCGTCAAGCGATTGCTCGAGTGGAACCAGGCCGAAAGGGAAGTGGCGAGTGAGAGGTCAGTGCAAGGGTGACATGGAGGAGATCGTGTGAAACAGTATGTTAAGTTGAAAGAGTATGGAAAAGCATGGATACAGGTGAAAGGTACAGCAGAAGACAGAAGTTGCAAGTGTAGACGTGCAGTTCAACCCCTATGTTCCACTAGGAACCCAAAGGAACAATGATAATAATTATTGCAAGTAAAATTTTTGTTTTTTTTGTGATAAGCAATTATCACATTCGACAAATTAATACAACCATATATATATATATATATATATATATATATATATATATATATATATATAGTTATATTATTTAAAAACTTTTTAATAAAACTCTATTTTATTCCCATTTTTCGTTTAGCTTCCCATACGAACTGGGATACATACTGCCCAGTCGACACAAAATATGGAAAGAAATAAAGAATGTTTAGTCAATGTCAGCAAGTATAAATTTTCACTTGTTATATCTGGCCTAACAAAAATGCTTCAAAATATTGACAGTATGGTATGTTCCGAGTTCTATTCAATACAAGTTTTTTATTTTCATAAAAAAATAGCAAGTTTATGGCCCAGATGCAGAAAGAAATTTTTGTGATTCACTTCTAATTGTATTAGAAACACTGGAGAAATGTCTAACATGTGTATGTCTAACAAAATATCATTAATTAATTAATTAACTAATTAATTGATGTTCTAGCAACCTCATGATACTTCTCGATTGGATGAAACTATTCTAGTGAAAAATTTACTTCAAGAACTTTTCAGAGTTCGTAATCTTGTATTAAATGTAAGCTTTCACTTTAAAGGAAATTGTAACTCACTTTAAAAAAAAATTTTAGTTCATGCATTTAACTAGCGATAATGGAAAAATGTATAATCAATTATTATTACTTGTATCACAAGTACTGTATGCCTTGAGCACACAATATTTTAATGCTGTATTCAATCGGATACCAAACTGGTAAGTGTTCCTATATACAATTGTTGTTGTTGTGTTTTTTTTTAAAAAAAATTGGATTTATTAGAAGTTGAAAGTATTCTCTATTAACTGTGTAAATTAAAATTTCTATATCTGATTCCATGCCTTGTTACCAATTCGTTCCAGTAGCTCTGTCTGTCTGTTATCGACATAGAACTTTGCACATATGTGCGTCAGTTCAAATCGCCACACTCCCTCCTTGTAACACACAAAGCAAGAGAAGAAAGTACAAGAATTGCATAATACAGACAGTAAGCAGAGGTGTGAGAAAAAGGAAGAGTAATAACGAAGAACAAAACAGTTTCATTGGAAATCATAAGTCACAAGGAGTGGATGCATCTGCGCCAGCCAGCCATTGACAACGATTTTGAGCCATATCACCAATTGTTTCCAACCATTGGTTTTTACCGTCCCGAGGACCCCAACCAGGAAGCCAGTCTACACCTTCCTACGTGGCTGGCTCAGACTAACTGTTCTAGATTTCATTGACTGGTGCAGTTATGTTTTTGTTTGACCTCCGCTAGCTTTTTTCCAGCCTGACCCTTTATCAGCTAACATTGCTCGTCGAGGAAGGCGATGACTAGGCATACGTAACACATGTCCTAACTATCTCAGTCTATGTAACTTCACAACCTCGTCGATTGATTTCCTCTGCTTACCTAGAACTCGACGCCTAACCTCAATATTGCTCACCTTATTATACCACTTCACACGGGAGATAGAACGCATACACCCATGATCAAAGACAGCTAGCCAGCGTTTTCATGTCTTCCACCCTCAGTGGCCAGTTCTCACAGCCATAAAGGAGGACGGAGTGGATAGCTGAGCAGTACACCCGCCCTTTGGTCAATAGTCGGATATCTCTTCTACGCCAGAGACGGCCTAAACTGGCAAATGCGAAACGAGCCCCCTGTATCCGTGCTGAGATTTAGTTAGAGATCAACCCGTTGGCGTTGGCTGATGCAACTTCCCAAAAATGTGAGTCTGTCAACGTGCTCTACCACTTCCCTCCCTATTTCTAAGCTAGGAGTCAGTGTAGTTCAGTCCTGTAACATCATCTTACATTAGGTGGGAGCGAATTGCATGCCAAACATTCGTAGATTGCAGCTCAAGGTGTTTAGAAGACTCTGAAGTTTGTCAGCGTCCTTGCCTAGAAGGACTATATCGTCTGCATATTCTAAATCAACGAGATTATTCCCTGGTAGCAAGTCAATCCCTGAGTCGCCGAAGTGAGTTAGGGTTAGTTAGAATTTGAGTAGTTTGGGTCGGTTCAGAACTCTGAATTGAGTCGAACCGGCTATACCTCTCTGATGAGCGCGGCCGCAAGCAGGAGAAATGGCCGTATGGTGTTTAGATCACCACTCTAGTCTGGTCAGCTAACATTATTGGTTATTGTGAGTGGTGCCCAACTACTTATATCGACTAGCAAGTAGTATATGCCATTATAAGAGTATTCAATAGATTTCCTTCATTATAAAATGCCTTAATAGGTTTGAATGTTTGACTTTGACGTCCAAAAAAATTACAATGTAATTATGGTTCCGTGCAAAATGAAATCTAAAAAGAAATGACCTTTACAAACACGATCACTCTGAAAGTCTACAATCAGAGTTTATGCCAACTTCTGCCCAGTGATGTATTCATTTTATTTATCAAAAAAATATGAATATACCTGTTTCACTGAGGATAACGTGTCGTCCAGGATTTAATACATCACAATTAAGAAAATCGTCCTCCGTGATAATAGTCAGTCTTGTCTTATTCCCGTATTCACTTCAAAGACTTCGCTGAGTTTTCTTTTAAAACTTATAAGCTTTCTCTAACTGAATACACTCAGTTTTATTTTCACCCAAGTTTTAGTTGTGCCTAGAGACTTCGTGGTATTTTAAAGCAAAAAGACTTAAATTTAGCCTATTTTTCTGCTTCCGTCTCTCTTTGTCTGGATTCAACATAGAACTTGGCACCGAAGTGCACCAGTTCCAGTTGCCACGTTCCAAATAGCACACAAAGGTAGACAAAAGGATGAGTGAAGAGAATTAATAGAGTTTGACTAGTATAAGAGTGAAACAGAATGGGTAGTGGTGGGAAGAAATATGAAAGATTACACAGACTGGATACATCTGCACTGGCCATTGACAACGATTTTGAGCCATGTCACCTATTGTCTCCAGCCATTGATTCCTAGAGTCAATCCCGAGGGCCCCAACCCGGAAGTCTGCATCTCCCTACCTGCTGACTCAGTTTAACTGCCAAGGATTTCATGGATTGATGAGGCCATGTTTTTGTTTGGCCACCACTTACTCTTTCCCATCCTGTACCTATATCAGCTAGTAATGCCTGTCGGTGGAGGCGATGGTTAGGCATGCGCACCACGTGACCTAGCCATTTCAATCTATGTAACTTTATAGCCTCGTCAATTGATTTTCCCTCTTTGCCCAACACTACGCCTAACGTCAACATTACTTACCTTATTAAACCACCTAACGTGAGAAAGAGATCGTAGACATCTATGATCAAAAACAGTTAGCCTTTTCATATCTTCAACACGTATTGGCCATGTTTCAAAGCCATAGAGAAGGACGGAGCGAACTGGTGAGCAGTACACACGTCCCTTGGTTGATAAATTTTTTCTACTTCTGTGGTTCAGTGGTATCACGGTTGCCAACTACAAACGTTGTCTGCGGTTCGATCCCTGGCCGACGCAGTCCTGAACCTCGCTATGCCGATAGTAATAGCGGTAAAGGGGGCAGGTTGGGAGTGAGACTAGCAACCCCACCCATTAAAAACAAAACCAATGTTACCGAAACTTCAGAGCTGCAGCTCGAAGCCCTACGTTTCATTTGAAACATAAAGGAAATAAAAAATAATGATAATAATATTTTGTATACTTCTATAAAAAGGTTGTAAATGAACCGTAATAGATACTTGGAAAGGTTTTGTTTTCTCTACAAAATTTTGTTCATTTCTTAAGTTTATCTAGTTTCTTTTAAATAAATGAGAATAGACATACTGAACTTATTCAGTCAGTGCCTAGAATTTGCAATATAACCATTCTATTTGAGATAAGAATTGCTCTTATAGACTTTGCGATGTGTCAAAATGTTACCAAGCAACGTAATATCAGAACACGGTACTTTTTGATGGCAGTCATGTTTTGCTGGCAAATTGATGAGCAGATAGGGCAACCCACAAGAAGCCTACACTAAAATCCCCATTTGCACATATTCTCTGTATTGTGCTTCTTTTGTCTTTCATGTTTTCTTTAATGTTTCACAGAATCATTTATTTCTCTTCTTCACTATTCCATCCGTAGTTACATTACTGAATATTCTTGCAGAAGACGTCGTACACACATCATACACTGATATAAGTATAAAACTTTGGCACTGCGGTAGAGCATAACTCTATTATGGATAAGATTTTATTTTGATGAATCACACAGTGGAGTGTTATACAGTAAGTAATATTAACTGATGCGACCACGTTTCGAGCACAAACTATTGCCACTCATAATCATATCAAGTCACTCACTCACTCACACAACCACTTTTTACTTCATGTATATACATGAGTGGAATTGATGATTAGACATTTGAATAAAAGTCAACATAGGATAAAGTACATTCAGAAATAGTAAACAATATGAGTGTTAAGAACACAATTTTCAGCGAAGAGACTCTTTTCAACGAATTTATTATCAAGCTGTACAATCGTATATATATGGTTTTATAAAGAAATTATATCCGGTGAGGGAATTAGGTCAAAGGTGTAAATACATGAAATAATAATAGTATGAAATAAATTTAAAATATTTGTGATTAGGTTCATAGTTTAAGTCAAGTGGAACAATAATTAATGTCATATATAAGATAATACATCAGGTGTATAGATTTTGGGGAGAGGCATATAATTGTAAGATTAATAGACGAATGTAAAATGTTACGTAATATGGTGTGAAATTTGATAACATAGAATTTAATATTGTAAAAATAAAGATAAAAAGTATACACATGAATAATTTTTGGTTTAAAATGTCAAGTAGATCAAGTGGAAAAGATTCAGAATGAGAGTCGTAATAATAATAATAATGATAATAATAATAATAATAATAATAATCGAAGTAATAAGGGAAAAGTACATAGAATAATAAAATAAATAAATGTCTATCCCTCTACGGCCAAGGCAGCAGTAGGGATTGTACATACTTCTTTTGTACACAAAGGTCTGGCTTAAAGTCATGAATTGCCAAGGCCTCAGCTGTCTTTAGAAGTCTGTAACGAAGAAAACGCGGGAAGTTGGCATGAATTCTGTATAAGACCTTGAAATCATGGTCAGGGTTGACCGAGTGACAGGAGTCGATGAGGTGTTCTAAGATAGAGCTTCGCACACATTTCCTTTCTCCTTTGTAAAACCAAGCTGGAATATGTTCTCGTATCCGTGTGGAGAGCATTCTCTGACTACGGCCAATGTACCTTGCTCCACAAGAGCAGGTGAACTGGTAGATGCACATGGAGGCGGTCAGACGGGGGAGCTTATCTTTTACAGAGGTAGAGAACAGTTTGCGGCTCGTGAACGTCATATGTAATCTAGCTGCAGGGAACGTTTTACTAACTGATTTAGAAAGACGATTTTTGAGCATATCAGAAGCTTGATCTCCTTTGAATTCCAAGTTCACGAATAGGGTTTTCTTTGGAACTGAGTCAGTGACCAGTTTAGACTGCTTCTCTTTCATGTTTCTGTCAATAAATCGGTTAGGGTAACCGTTTTCTGCGAGTGTGGCTTTCAGGAAGTCAAGTTCTGAGTCGACGCAATCAGAACTACAAATTTTCCTTATCCTAAAGCAGAGTGAATGGATTAAATTCCTTTTCCTGGAAATAGGCACCCAACTGTAAAAATTAGTTAGTTGTCCGTTCCATGTACGTTTCCGGTGGATCGATCTCTTGAGAGATCCGTCATTCCGTCTGCTAAGGCACACATCAAGA